ACCTTCCATGAGGGCAGATGTATTTGTCTATTTTGTTCTCTGTGGTAATGCCCGGTGCCTAGAACAGGGCTGGGCACATAGTAGGTGCTCAATAAATATTTGAATGAAGGATAGATGGATGGATGGATGGATGGATGCCTGCGCGTGCCAGTGTCTGTGTGATGTGCCTAAGTGAACGTGAGGCTGGAAGTGTGAAGGGCGGACAGAGAAGCCTTGTCCCTCCCATGGTCCCCTCTAAACCCTTCCACCGGGGTGTCTGGTGGTAGTGGGGAGGGAGACCCCCGGTCCTTACAGCTGGGCAGGGAGGGCAGACAGGGCATGTGTGAGCTGGGGCAGGGGTGTGCGTGCAGCCGACTGGAGCTGGGGAGCCACAGCAGGGCCATGGGAGGGGGGCCGGCTCACTCGGCGGAGCCCTTGTGGCGTCGCTTGGAGGGTGGCACCAGGCGACGGGGCAGGTTGGCGGGCAGCCCGTGACCCTCCAGCTTGGCCTCGATGAGGTGACTGGCCAGCGCGAACTCCTCGTCATCCAGCATGCCGTCGCGGTCCACATCGCTCAGCTTCCAGATGCGCCCCAGAACCGAGTTGGGGAGTTTGGTCCCCACCATCCAGGTCTTGGCCTTGGAGCCGCTCAGCTTGCCATCGGCAGGTGCCAGGTTGTAGAAGATCTCGTCGTATTTGGACTTGTCCTTGGTCACCACCCACTCAGCCTCGTCGTCCGAACCCTCCTCGCCGTCCTCCATGGCCTCGTCAGGTCCCCGCTCCACGAACGGGCCCATGTGGGTGCCCTCAAAAGCGCCCCCCTGCACGCCCACCTCGGTATTCTCCAGCTCCTCCTGCCGCAGCAGGGGCATGAGCTTGGCAATGTCGTGCGTCAGCATCTCATCCAGTGCCTCCAGCAGCTTCGGCTTCAGCGAGTGAAACTTGGTGAAGTCGTGCGCCATCAGCAGCTCCTGTGGTGGGGGACAGGGGGACCCAAAATTCAAGCGGCGCCATCCCTGAGGCCCTCAGGCTGCAAGGTGGTACCAGGACACTGGAGAAGCTCAGGGGGGCAGCTTTTGTGGGTTTTTTGGTGGTTGTTTGTTTTGAGACAGAGTCTCGCTCTTGTTGCCCAGGCTGGAGTGCAAATGGCACGATCTCAGCTCACTGCAACGTCTGCCTTCTAGTTTCAAGAGATTCTCCCGCCTCAGCCTCCTGAGTAGCTGGGATTACAGGTGCACACCACTACACTCGGCTAATTTTTGTATTTTTAGTAGAGACGGGGTTTCATGTTGGCCAGGCTGGTCTCGAACTCCTGACCTTGTGATCCACCTGCCTCAGCCTCCCAGTGCTGGGATTATAGGCATGAGCCTCTATGCCCGGCTGTTTTTTGTTTGTTTTGTTTTGTTTTGACAGGGTCTCGCTCTGACACCCAGACTAAAGTGCAGTGGCACCAACATAGCTCACTGCAGCTTCCAACTCCCAGCCTCAAGCGATCCTCTGGCCCCAGTCTCCCAAGTAGCTGGGACCACAGGCACGCACCACCACACCCAGCTAAATTTTTTTTTGTAGAGACGGGGGTCTCGCTATGTTGCCCAGGCTGGTCTCAAAGTCTTGGGCTCAAGCCATCCTCACACTCAGCCTCCTAAAGTGCTGGGATTGCAGGTGTGAGCCAGTGCGCCCAGCCAGGGTGGCAGCTCTTTACTGACACATGCAGAAGTATTTGAAGATCTGAACAACCTGCTCTGCTCGGGCACCCACCACTCGGAAGATACTTGGGCAACAAGGTCCCGGAGGCTTTCTCCTAAACCCCAGAATTACTGGAGGGTGGGGATGCTGGGGACCCTCCGATGAGTGAGAGCAGCAACCTTCTGCCAGCTAGCAGAGAAGGATTTCAATGTTTTCGCATCAAGTATACCTTTCTCAGAGCATCCACACCGGCCTAGAACCCTAACTGCCCTCTACTGGACTCTAGCTGCCCAGCCAGCATGCACAACATTGAAAATTTT